TTTGTCTTAGCCAAGAAGTTTGAGATGGATATTTGCCTCCTCGTCCCAATGAGCGCATCAGGCTGTGAGTGGCAGCGCTGCCCGTGCGGAGGCTGTTTGTCGGACCTGGGTGTAGCTGGGTGTGGAGTCTGCAGGAGGGGACCGGCCGGAGCTCAGCAGCCAGAGCTCAGTGCTACGTGGTCGGGCTGGTTTTTCCCCACGTTGCCTTCTCTGTACGGCGTAATGAATGGCTTCCTCCTGGTCTGTGGCTATAGGCCCAGCTTAAAGAGTATACTTACCAAGGCCCAGAATACACACCCCAGTCATCCAGCCGTTGTGCCGGAGCTTTTTGGACACTCCCAGCCACCATCCACCTGCTACGGGCCATTCGCTCACACACTTACTCAAAATACTTCTCCTGGACAATAGGCACTCTTTAGAAATGTCTCTAGTTGTTGTGATGCATTTTTGTTGTTTACTGCAGTCTTTTTTTCAGAAATTCGTTCACAAAATTGTCTTTTTTTCCATGTATCACAGAAAGCATATTTGTCCTCTTTGAATTTTTTTTAATGTATTACAGAGACAAGATGTGAAAAGCAAAAAAAAGGGAATACGGCATTTTGAAGACTCTTTTGCTTAATTTTTCTCTCTGTAAAAGTGTCATCTCTAAGAAATCTTGCATTGGTCATTCTCCCTACACCAGCTACTATCACCGCTACACACGCTGAGATAGTAGCTGGTATAGTAGTTTTTAAATAAAAGGTGAAGCTAAGCAGGACAGGGTCTGGATAGAACTGGGATATAGACCTCTAGGAACACCAAGTGAGTGATGTGTGTGAATGCTTGTGGTCAGAGGAGCCGATGGCACTGATCAGGAGCTTTGCTTTTGTCAGTCTGCCCCAGGGCTGTTTGTGTGTGTAGAGAATTAGTAATGTCATGTGAAGCATGACATTACTAATGACATTAAGGGCGACAGTAGCTCAGTTAGTAGAGCATTGGCCTTAGGGCCAGAAGGTCGTGGGTTCAATTCCCACCTCTACACCTTCTTCACCGACTCCCACTGATGACTGCTGTCGTGTCCTTGGGCAAGACACTTAACCCCACTTTGCCCAAAGCCCCCACTGAAAGATCAAGGCTATACTCACACTCAGAGAGCAGCCGTCCTCCTGTGGACTCACCACCTGCAGAGGGTCAGTGAGGGGCTGGTGCTATGAGACTTGGGTGGCATCTCTGACTGCCACCCCCCTGACCCAGAAATGGATTAAAGGGTAGAAAATGGATGGATGTGAAGCCTCGTTGAGTGTCCAGAAAAGTACAGAAAATGTTTTTACTGCTCAAAAATATGAAATTGTACATTAGGCCGGCTCGTTGCCCCCTCAGATATCTTCAAAGTCCAATGCCACATTTTGGGCAAAATAATAACATGCAAATCGACAAAACTGAACTCTGCCTTTTCCCCCCCTCCTCCATTTAAAGCTGCACTAACTGACTTTGGGATTTTGAAGCCGCGGACTCGCTGGCCTCTCTTTCTGCTCCCCTCCCCGCACCCACGAAGCTATCGCCCCCCACACACACTCACTGTTGGGACGGAGCTAGCCTCTCCCAATATGGATAATACATGGACATGGATTTGCACGTGGATGGCGTGACCATAGAACGATAGAACCGGGAAGCGCGGAGGAATGGGACTTTCTTTTGGATGGCTGTCTCGCTGTGTAAGCAGTAACCGGTGACAAAGACACACGAAGCTTCAGGTTTGCTCCGCCGCTTGTTGTGCTAACTCAGCCGTCTATGCTAACGGACCTGTAGATTTCTCACGAAAGTGGGGGCCAGTGGTGCGCTGTGATTGGTCACAATCTGAGACCCGAAACACATTCTCTTCCTTGTTTCATCAAAACTCGATCTATCTATGTCATGTCAGCACAAATCTGCGCTATTTTTTCTTCAAAAGGACGTACATCCCAATGCACTACATGGACATGGATAGCATTTTAGTAATGAATACAAAAATGAAGTCAGTTAGTGCAGCTTTGAGCTTGAAATTGAAAGCTACTTGAAGTATGGCTAGCACTATAATAAACTACATAATTATTTACTAGGATGGCTGTGTTTTATAATTTCGGTGTTTTCAATTAAAATATAATTTGAACACTTTTAAATGGAATTGTTATACATGAATCCAGTCAAGTAAAATATCGTGAGGGCAGTGGAAACGTGGCTTCAGAGACTTTTCTCTTCTATGGTAAGTGTAGTGTATGGAGCTTTGCTAAAAACACATCTAACAAACCTTCCAGCGCAGAGATCCATTCACTCGATACACAAAGTATAATTTAGCTGAATGAGTTGCTTCTCCTGAGCCGTCTGTCACTTCTCTGGTCAAACATAAGTGCTATGATAGTGCAGAGGTTTGGGACATGTCAGTGCCTCGGGAATATCCTGTCTGCAGCCCTGTGTCATCCCCGCTGCACATTTGGCAACGCACTTTCACTTTCTCTTAGTAAACAAAAGTGACACGGGACCAGACACTCTGCTTTTCTGACTGCATCTGGACACGAGAGAAGGCTGTGGTTGCGATCATGAAGCCGATTGCAAAGCTGGTTTATAAGCAGTATATAAACAGGTTCAGAGACCAACATGTTTTCGGGGGGAGAGTAACCACCTGTTTGTCTCATTTATCTAGCTTGCATTTATGAATACTTGTTGTTAGTATAATTGTTAGTTTTTGATTAATGTTGAGACCTTTGCCTCATCAGTTGATTTGCATATGACATATTTATCTTTTGGAGGCCTGGAATGACCTGTTTTAAATATGAATAATAGTTTTACATTGATAATAATGATGATGATACAAATTAATGTATAAAGCCACAGTGGATAGAAATGGGCAGGAATCAAATTGACAGTGTTTTATGGGCAATCAATCAAAAAACAATTTAATATTAACTGATGAGAAACCTCTTCATTTAGCAGGAGAAAGCAGGTCTTTCAGTCAATGTGTCACACCATGTTATCCTTATTTTCTGCACCATTTCTCAAAGAAATGGGGATATGGATTACGACCTGTTATCCATTTCTGGAAACTGCAGACCTTCTGATATTTGTCTTTATGAGTAGAAGCATTGAGGCTTTGTGGATTTCCTAAAGCATACACCGGCCACATAATCAGTGTAGAAAATGCATGCATAGACTGCTTAGTCTTGTTTAAAACCAGGCATTTCTTTGGGCCAAACATCACTAACCACAAACTCCACACATATAGACAAGAACAACCGTTTTCTTCCATTCTCTGCTTCACCTAAGTGCTTGTTTCTGGTCATGAGAGGAAAGTGGGTCATTGGAAGGAAATCCGCAATGGCTAAAACAACAAGCCCCTATCTGAACCCACGACCTTCCAGCTCCAGGGCACAGTCATGTTGAGTCCTGCTCCACCCTCTCGCCCCACTGCTAGTTCAGCCCGTTTGTGGGACAACCACTTTTAGCCTCCACATGAGTCACTGCTTGGCACAAGAGTGTATTTCTTTAGTGTAGGCAGAGGTGCACCGTATAGATGACTGCAGCTTGTTACTGCTTCATGTGGATTGGATTTTATTTGCCACATTGTTCATTTGATCAATAACAGATATTACATTCACTGACTGAATTACAACCAATTAGTTATTTAGTGATAATCTAGTAATAATCTTGTGTATTTAGTGCATCTTAAATCTCAATATTCAGATTCAGATTCATTTATTCGCCATTTGCAGTAACACTACATTGGAATACATTAGTAAAAGTTCCCAGTGTGCACAGGACAAGTACAGACATAAAACAACATTAAAAGACAAAAATAAAACACATTTTAAAAACAGTAAACAAATGTCACTGTGAAGTTGACCAACTAAAACAGATCTGTACAAGTGCAAAAACATTAAAGTGCTCTATCCAAACTGCTAACAGCTCGTGGAAAAAAACTATTAGCATAACGAGATGTCCTGCATCTCAGAGAACAATATCTTCTGCCAGAGGGAAGAAGCTGGAACAAGGCTTTTCCTGGGTGGCCAGAAGAGTCATTGATAATTTTGATCTGATACTACGTTATATCAGAAATGAACTTCCATAATCAGTGGTGCCAGGGAGCAGATCAGCAGAAAACAAGTTGGCGATCAGCAGATTCTCAAAAATTGCTCTGAACAATGTGCGGGTCGCTGGATTCAGAAAATAGATAATATTCAACTTTATTGTCATTACACTGCTCAGATCAATGCAACCGAATGCAGTTCAGCATCTAACCAGAAGTGCAGTATAATAGATAATATTAACAGCACAGATTTATACATGCTTATATTTTAGACTGTACAAATATGCTATTGCTAACATTAACATTAATTACATGTCTGATTAAAGTGTGTCTAACATGCTTAGAGAGGGTGAGAGTTCAAGAGTGTGACTGCTCTATGATAAAAACTCTTAGTCTGCTGGCCCTGACCCTGGCCCTGTAGTTGCAGCCAAAAGGCAAAATAAAATACAAATGCAATCGATATGACCAATAACCAGGAGGCTATCATACGTCTTCCAGGCCGTATTGTCTTAATGAGTGGCCATTTGTGCAGATTAGAGGCCTCAATTTTTTCAAGAGCAATTTTGACATGTATTGATGCATTGATGAATACTTCTAGACCTGCAGTAGTCCATCCATCCATCCATTTTCTACCCTTTAATCCATTTCTGGGTCAGGGGGGTGGCAGTCAGAGCTGCCACCCAAGTCTCATAGCACCCACCCTCACTGACCCTCTGCAGGTGGTGAGTCCACAGGAGGACGGCTGCTCTCTGAGTGTGAGCAGAGCCTTGATCTTTCAGTGGGGGCTTTGGGCAAAGTGGGGTTAAGTGTCTTGCCCAAGGACACAACGACAGCAGTCATCAGTGGGAGTCGGTGGAGAAGGTGCAGAGGTGGGAATAGAATTACTTCTAGACCTGCAGTAGTTTAGTAGTTAATAGTTAGCTTGTAAAATATATATATCTTTATGTTCTTGTGTTTTCAGGTGCTGTTTCTGCTGCGTTCCTTCCAGTCCGACTCTCACAGACCCATCCCGTCCGAGAACGGTATTGGCTCAGCTCTCCGTCGGTACATATGGATCGCTTCACGGTATGTTTGGAAGGAATTATCTAAGAATCTCAAAACTAGGAAAATATGATAACGACCCTTTAACAGAATTACATCGGACAATTACATGTTTTCCCCAATTAGCCTAATGCATGTGATCTGGTGGTAATAAAAAAACATTGTCATTTTCAAATATGTTGTTAGTTGTGGTGTTGCACAGCCAGAAGGTTGTGGGTTCGATTGCCATGTCAGCCCTGTGACTGGTCTGCTTGGAGTTTGGGGAAGGTGAAACAATAATCTACAACTTTGCGGCCATTAAACCCTAGCCTTTACTCATGTTGTCTCTTTAGGCTTATTTTTAAGACTTTTGATTTGTTTAGTTTAAATAGAAACAACAATCATATGATTTAAACTAATTATAAAATGCACAAATCTTGGGTTGCCAACTTTTAACCCACAACAAATGAATAAAATACACCTAACTGGTTCATGGCTCTCAAAACAGTTTAGTAGAATCATTTGTTTTGATTTTGGCCTGTGTCAATTGTTGGTTCAGTTTTTTCAGACAGAAAATGAGAAAGAGAGGACCACACTTCTTGGTAAATCCGCTCTCGTCCCCAAGTGTCAACAGTGACTCACAGGGCTCTTTCTTACAAGTATGCGACAGATAACATGTTTTCTAATCCGATGAAGACAGCAGTTCAGAACAAGACTTTCTATTGGGCTAAACAAAACGTAGAATTTATGAAACTTTACTGTGTGACAATGAATTTCCAGCTACAAGAATGTGATTTTGACGAGAGTAGTCATTTTCAGATTGTTTCAAGTTCAGATACTGAGCTTCTGTGCCACGTTCCTGCAGATAACTTTGTCAAACCAGCTTCAAAAGTCCGCACAAACACAGCCTTCATCCATCAGCGCACGTGTCCTTCTCCTCGGTAACTTAAGCCCCACACACAGATAAGTGAAAGAATACGGCCCCTTGTCCCCCTGCCCGAAGCCTCCTCGCCCATGTCCGCTCCATGTACCGCGCTGGCTCCCCTTTCAAAGCGACCGCCCGCTGTCACATCTGCCACCCCCCCACCTTACCCCCACCTCCTGCACCTCTCACCCCGCGACCAGGCCTCGAGATCGGGCACAGATTAGCGCGCGGCCCCCCGCTGCTGGTGGGAGGTCAGACTCGGTGCCTAAGCAGATAACGCCATCCGCTCGATCGCACTGATGAGCTTTTATTAACATGACGAGGTGGATTCTTGCCCGGCCAAGCGCGTCTGCAGCCGCTCCGTTTGATCGCTGACCAAGACGTCCCGAGATCTGAGGCGGGTCAAAGGAGAAATTAAAGCAGTGGTTCTCAATCGGGGGACTGGGGACTTTGGGTTTGGCATGTTTTAAGACGAGGATAACATTTTGGATTGCTATATAAGACTGCTCGTAAGCAAACCTCAACCTGTATCAATGTAGCTGTTTGTATTTGGTATTAAAGCTGCCATTTAGTTAACAGATAACTATTTTCCTTCCTCTCAAAACAGTTTGGTTATAGCACTAGTTTACACATGAGCATTTTATGGGCCCCTGTCTCAACTTTAGATATACTTTTTTTAGACAAAAAAGTGAAGGAGAGGACCACCCTCCCTTAGCCAATCAGCTATCATCCTGAAGCTCAAATATGCTAACGCTAACATGCTGGCTTCATCTTATTAGAAAACATGTTGTTATTTCTGTTGGGACAAACAAAATACATTATGAAAAGAAAAAAAAGCTTTAAAAACCCATAAAGCCCTAAATTGGTCATTTGCCGTTTTCTGGTTTACTGTGAATAGATGTCTGTCTGCACCTTTCATTAAAACACCAATGCATCAAACTCAAAGTATGATGTCATTCGTGCTGAGCAGCTGTAAATACACTGTTGGCTCTTGTGTTTTACCCTTTAACTCATGGTGTAGGAGAGTGTGAGAATTAGCACCTGCATCGCGCCAAAGCGGCTGGTTTTTATGGCACAACAGGTGAATTTTCATAACTGAGATTTGTTTGTAGTGTTTATACTGAGGCTTTACACAGGTTTCATGAAGTACAGCTGCAGGCTTCTTATGCAAGTGTATTTTGATGTCAGTAAATATTATTATATTGGCAAGTACTGCTTAATGTAAATACTTATGTTCTCTCTGATGTATAGATCTCGAGAATGTATCTTTATGCATTATTCTGGAATTTGGAACTTCTAAATAACTAGGTTGAAGTAACCGCTTGCTCCAAGGTTTAGACCCGAAGCAGTTTGGTATCACAATGAAACTGAATGACTATGAAATGACTAAAAAGCATTTTCTTGGAATGCTTTGCACAAATCTATCAATACCAAAAATTTCCATATGGTTCTAACTTAGCATTTTTCCTGGGAATGTGAAGTGAAATGGCTTCTTGTGTTATTAGAATTGGGTTTTTTCTTCTCGAAAAAGAACATTTTACATCACATGGTTTTATTAAAACTAATTTGCGAGCAGTACCATTGTATTCTTCTCACGAGAGACCATCATAGAGTCGATCTTATCTTCTCTGGTGCTCCCTCGCTCTGACCAGACTCCTTTTCATTGTTTTTGTGTTATATCTTGTCCACAACATGATCCTATTCCATAATGTTGAATAAAATATGTATGTATAAATTAAAAATAGCCTGTCTAATCCCGTCAAACCTCCAGCCGTACTGCGATGTCTTAGCAGCGTGTGTGGCAAGTGTTGAGTTTATGTGCACGCTCAATCAAGGGCACGACCGCAGCGCAGCCAGAAGCCACAAGAGTGAGACAGAACAAGGGGCGCAGTGTGCAGGGCTGACGTCATCCTTTCATCACTATCATATTAATAACACGCACGCACACACACCTACACACGCACACGCACACACACACACGTTGAGGGGGAGATTGTGTTTTGATACACTTAGCGGTAAACTATGAGGGCGAATCACCATTGATTTCTATGTATTGTATTTACTATTGAGCAGGGGTCTCCAACCTTTGGCTCGGGAGCTCCCAGTAGCTCACCAGCCCCTTTCAGGTAGCTCCCAAAAGGATTTAGAATTAAGTCATGAACTTGAATGAATACATCTTAAGTCATTGCAAGTATAAATATAGGGTTATACAGTATTACAGTATTTTTTTGTGTTTTCCGTGTGTGTTCTCTCTTGTCTTAATTATTATGTTGAAAAATAAGAAGCTCTCTGCCTCTTCTGTTGTATAAAAGTAGCTCTTGGATTGAAAAAGGTTGGAGACCCCTGCTATAGAGCAATTGTCCTGGGACTTCCTACTGTGGAGGGCTCAGGCTCAGGCTCAGGTTTAGGCCCAGGTTCAGGCTCAGGTTCAGGCTCAGGCTCAGGCTCGTTGTGCTGTAGCTAATTCTGAAGATGATGAGCTCAGACTAAAGCCTAGTTTATACTCGCGCGGAGCTTACGGAGGTGACGTGACGTCACTTGCGCAACGCGTTGGTCACCGCAAGGCCCTTACGTCGCCTGCCGCGCAGCATCGAAAATTTCTAACTACGTAAGGGTCGCCGCAAGGAATCTCCGCTGTGATTGGTCCGTGTGTGTGTATTGGAAGGAAGCACGGAGCGGCTGCAGCAGGGACATGGACGAGGCACTATGGAGCAGAGAGCTTTGTGCTTCGAAGGAAAAGCAGTTTGGGCTCAGAGCCTGATATACAGGAGACAGTGGACTATCTAACATATATATAACTTATAAACTGTGCAGTCGTTTGTTTTGCACTGTTCCTGTCTTTGTTTGAATCGTAGCTGCGTTTGTTGCTTTCCTCCTGCACTCGTAAATCGTTTATGTCAGATATTTACCACTAATATTGTTTTGCTGTTTGTGCTGAAAACTATTTAATAATAACTATGTTTCCAACAAGAACTGTGTCTTTATTCACAGAATCACAGTTGAAATGACTTATAAAATAATGAATCCATAAAACTATCACACAAACCTGCAGTAGAAACACATGTAATGAACTCAAACAGCTTTGTTTGCTAATGTTGTTCTGAAGAGGACAAAGTAGCAGCGTAAATGGGACCGCTCCTGTGTGATCGCCCTCATGTGGTTTGTTGTGGGATTACAACATTCTCCTCAAAACTCCGTAAGGGGAACGCGCCAGTATAACATCCATTGTGCTTACGTAGGTCCACCGCAACCGCTAACGTAAGCCACGCCGCGCAAGTATACACTAGGCTTAAGCGATGTAATTGAGTTGTTGAGAATTGCTCTGTAAAGCTGTGACAGCATTTCAATCTTGTCTGTTGAACATTTGTAATTAGTAAAAGTCAGAGTGGTCACAGATTATAAGTTTAAACAATTTTAAACTTAATCAATCAATCAACGTTTATTTATAGAGCGCCTTTCCTACACAAGGCAACGCAAAGCGCCTCACAACCCATATAACATCATGCATAAATCATCAAACATTAGAATTTAAGTAAACATAAAAAGACAGATTAAGAGCACAAGATATATAAAATCACACAAGTAGTTAAAAACCGTAAAACATTAAAATCACACAAGGGATTACAATCATAAATAATCATAGCGCATTAAAAAGATTAAAGATAAAAACAAATATAAAATCATTCACTTGTATGCACAGCTAAAAAGAACTGTTTTCAGTTCAGTTTTAAAAACTGCTAGAGTAGACGCCTGTCTCACACTCTCGGGAAGACGGTTCCAGACTCTAGCTGCATGAATCTGAAACGCAGCCTCCCCATGTCTAGTTCCGACTCTTGGCACTAACAGAAGTCCAGTCCCTGTGCTCCTCAGAGCCCGAGTTGGTTCATATGGCACCAACATGTCGCGGATGTACCCTGGTGCGAGGCCATGGAGAGACTTGTACACAAGTAAAGCTACTTTAAAATCTATTCTCTGAGCCACAGGAAGCCAGTGCAGAGACCTGAGGACCGGACTAATGTGGTCGTACTTCCTGGTTCTAGTCAGGACTCGAGCTGCAGCATTTTGGATGTACTGCAGCTGTTTTACCGCTTGTTTAGAGAGACCTGTGAACAAGCCATTGCAGTAGTCCAATCGACTGGAGACAAATGCGTGGATAAGAATCTCCAAGTCTGCTTTAGACACAATGTTCCTAATTTTAGCAATGTTTCTTAGGTGGAAGTAAGCTGATGATGTCACAGATGATATGTGGCTATTGAAATTTAAGTCTGAGTCCATTATTACTCCTAGATTTCTGACCTGAGTTGAGGGTTTTAGGGAGAGAGACTGGAGGTGGCAGATAACGCTCTCTCTTTGTTTTTGAGGTCCGAAAACAATAATTTCAGTTTTTTCTGTGTTTAGCTGGAGAAAGTTATTTTGCATCCAATCACTGATTTGTTGGATACAGTGAAGGAGCGAGTCCACTGGTCCATGTTCTCCTGCTGTCAGGGACACATAGACCTGAGTATCGTCAGCATAATTGTGATAGGACACGTTATTACTGTGTATTAACCTACCCAGAGGCAGCATGTAAATATTAAACAGGAGAGGCCCCAGGATTGATCCCTGTGGCACTTCGCAGGTAAGGGCCAGATGGTCTGAGATACAGTTTCCGATCTCCACAAAATACTTTCTGTCCTGTAGGTAGGATATAAACCAGCTTAGGGCTGTTCCAGAAACACCAACCCAGTCCTCAAGTCTCTGAATGAGGATACCATGATCGACAGTGTCGAAAGCAGCACTTAAATCTAACAGGATAAGAACTGAGACTTTTCCTGCGTCAGTGTTAAGTCTGATGTCATTTGTTACCTTCACTAGAGCGGTCTCTGTGCTGTGGTGGGGTCTAAAACCAGATTGGAACATATCAAAAGAGTGATTGATTATTAAAAATTTGTTGATAGACAACTTTTTCTAGAATTTTACCCATGAAAGGCAGATTTGAAATGGGCCGATAATTTTTAAGTGCCAAGGCATCCAGACTCCTCTTTTTTAGGAGGGGTCTGATGACTGCCGTTTTCAGGGCCATTGGGAATGTTCCAGATTCAAGAGACATATTTACTATATGCGTGAGTGAAGGTAAAAGACTGCTCAGAACAGATTTAAGAAATCTAGGAGGTAATACATCCAGGCTACATGTAGAAGAACTCAGACTTGTAATTATCATTTGGACAGTTTCATTTTGTACTGGTGTAAAGTGTGTCAGCCCAAAAAGCTTCACTGGCTGTTGGATTGTAATTTCTACTGTGGAGGTGATGGCATTTTTGATGCCTTGGACTTTGTCATTAAAAAACTCTGCAAACTCATTACATTTGGTTTTGGAGGTAAGCTCTGATGGCATCTTAACTGGGGGGTTTGTCAATTTATTTACTGTTGAACTTAAGTCCTTCTGAACGAGCAGTCAACGAGTGGAAGTTTTTCGAAAAGTTGCTTTAATGAGTGCGCTTTTAGTGGGTTTTAGAAAAAAATCAAGCTTAAGTTGTCATCGCAGCGTTTTGCACGAGGCAAAGCATTTCTACACAGCTTCACCAGGAGCGGATCCTGCACTTTACTGTCGGATCATACTTTTCGAATTCTTTATAAAACCAAATCCCAGCACAGTGTGTGTTTATCTGAATACTCACTTGTTTATTGAACTGTTTCCCGATAACTGTGTATGTTCATACTTTTACGTACTTTCTTACGTGTTGTCCGTTGAACTCATAAACTCATAAAAAGTTATCGTTTCAGTAGAAAGAGTGTTTTTGCAAAGCGTCCATAGACTGTCCTCTGTTCTTTCTTCTCAGACACAACTTTGGGCGCCTCATGTGATCAGCTCTTACTCACTGCTTCAAAGATCCTCCACCCCTAGACTCTCGCCTCGTACACTTATGCGCGTGCACACACACACTTGAAAGATTTATCATCTTTAAGAGCCAAAGAGAATGCAAATTAATGCTTTTTGTTTTAGAAAAAATATGTATCAGCATCAATCATGGAATGAGATTTTACTTGGAATATCATCTTTTAAAATGTGAAATATATGGAGAATAGAAAATGTATGGATGGAAATGTACAAACAATGATGTACAGTATGTTATTCCCCACTTTTACCACCAGAGGGAGGTGTTAATTTTTTTTTTTTTTTATAAAATGGAACATCGTGTGCAGCAAACACTCACGTGGTTCTAAAGGACGTTCAAAAATGGCTCTAATGCCTTTTTACTTTGCCCGAAAATGGTTCTAAAGGGGCCACGAGATACTTGCACCTATGTGAGGACTTCTTCACACTGTTTGAGTCTGATTTATACACGTGCACTACTGTTTGTTCGTCAGTTAGTTACAGACTTTTATATGTGCTTATGTGTTTGTGTGGATGGATGCGTTTCTGCTGCTGGACACCTCAATTTCTCCTACGGGGATCAACAAAGTATTTTTCTGTCTCTGTCCTTTTTCAATAAACCAGAAGCGCAACTGAAAACCCACAGACAGACCTTCACATAAAACCATGACTTTGACTAAAACTTTGGGCTTTGAAAACTGCCTCCATCAATGTACATTATTGACTGCAGTCTGCACAGTGTGGTGATCAGGAGGGACCGCCACACGTCAGAGATCATATGCTCTTCAGCCAGACCTCAAACTTCCTGGTTCAACAAAGTCTTTGAATAGGATTTGGGATTGATCTAATATATTGTGGTGAGGAGAGGAAATGGCTTTTGATTTATCATTTTTAGATTTTTATTGCTGGAGGCTGTTCTGGTATCTCCCTCTTCCTAAATTAAGAGTATCGCATTCATTATGTCATCACGATTTGTTATAACTATAAAAAGTGTTGCCTTGTTGGCCGCTTTCAAATTCTTTCACCAAAGACTCATTGTGCTTCTGTGACATCTGATTATTATTATTTTTACTTTGAACTGGCCTTTTTTAACTTAAAAACCATTGCATGCATATGACACACGAGTAATGTTTGTCATCTGCAAAACTGGAGTGAAATAACTTTTACCTTTTGTTTTCAGGCAGAACTGCTGTCTCGTGACCAGAGGAGCCTTTTTGGACGTCTTGGTCAGTCTCTGTGGACCTAAGATCAGTATTTTGGAAGGTGAGTCCTGGGTTTTCCACCAATAATAGTCTTTGTAATGTTATTGATGTGCTTTTATGGAGGCGCCAACTGCTGCTGTGCAGGATGTCCACGTTTTTCTTCTTTGTGAATATTTTTGTTGTTCTGGCGCAACCTTTGTACAGGTTTAATTTGTGTGTGGGTTTTATGCTTCAAATGCTCTTTCACAAGCTTTTCAAATCGTATTTATTCAAACATGTTTGACCTAAAGCAGTGTTAATAACTTCTAAACCCCAGTTTCACACAAGGACAATGTAATAATAATGCATCGGTTTTATACAGCGCTTTTTTGGACACTCAAAGACGCTTCACATGTCATTATTCATTCACTCACTCCATACACAGTGGTAATAAACTACTACTGTAGCCACAGCTGCCCTGGGGCACACTGACAGAAGCGAGGCAACCAATATGTGCCATCGGCCCCTCTGACCACCACCAACCATTCACACACACACACACCAGACTCATTCTAGGCAATGGGGGCGAGGTGTCTTGCCTAAGGACACAACAGCAGTTTGGCACTTTACAGCCGCAGCCGCCCCACTGTAAACATATTTAAGTTAGTTATTAAGAGTGGATTATTACTTTAAATTGCTTTATATGACTAAGTTCTCAATCCTGGTTCAGGATAATGTATTGCAAGGCATGTCTTTGTATTACATTTTACAATTTTTTACTAATTCCTAAATAATTCTAAATACTTCCTGTTTAGTGCTGGCATACACAGACTGTATGTAGACGCACTATGCCAACCCCCAATAGCTCAATGAAGCTCAATAGGGAAGTGTTGTGGCTACAGGCTGTGTGAATCCACAAAGTAAGACCCATGTTTATCAGGCGTTCTTATCTCCATAGTCATACTTTTGATGCTATAATGATTGATAAACACTGGTCTATTCATGTAATTGTTGTCCCTAACCAGATAAAATAGACACGGCTATCACAGGGCAGAGAATTTTCTTAACAATGACTATATTACCAACAGTTTGTGGTGGAAACGGCCATCAGCACCCGAGTCCATCTCTTCTTCCTCTTTCCGCTGTGGCACAAAGGCCACAGTTTTTCTTTTCAGCTCCTGCCATCTCCTCCTCTTGTCGGGACTTTCTGCTGACGCTGCTCTTTGACAACTGTCTCTCCTCCATTTGCTCTGAATGCGACTGCGATCGAGGCACAACAGACGTACGCCGTTTGTCCACCACCTCCGCCCTTTTTTTAGCTCAAATGTTGACAGAGGCCGCGGACACTTCACCGGAGGAATGTGAAAGCGTAGGATATGTTTGACAGATGGTAGGATCGCGCCTATGACCCACTTTATGGAGCAGAGGAGGAGAAGAAAGGGCACAAAGGTAGACAGAAAGGGGTGGGGGTGCCTGTGTTTGCAGACCGGGCTCATGTGCTCGACATATGCTGGTCTTGACAGTGGAAATACCGAGGATTTCTCAAAACAAGACGGCCCCTTACATAACCAAACAAGCCACGCTTCTCTTAACTCGCACACCTCAGCTTTCTTTAACACTCAAGTTCACACAACTCTCCAGTTAAACGATTAAAATAAAAATACTATTATTTTATGATTTATTTTATAGGTGACCAATGCACCTTTTTACCTGCTGATAATATTACTCATAATTGAAAGCCGACATTTGAGCTAGATGAAAATGTTTCCAGAATTGACGCTATGTTTGCCATTTCTTAATGTTACAAAAAGTCCCCTTGAAGAGTCCTTGTTTGCAAATATATAAATGTTTTTAATGTTTAAAGAACACCATGTTACAGTAGTGTCCCTCATTAAAAATAGGAGTTCTTTTTTCACCCCATCCACACAGATTTCAGGAGCTTCGACCACAAATCATCACATACACCTGAACTTAAACCTGTGATTCTATTAATACATGGAAACAAAGGTCTTTCCTCAAATTATTTTTGGGAAATCTCCAGTCAAGTTACATTACTTTGAACTGCGTACTATTCAATTAGACAACGTCATGATGGATTTAATGTGTCGGTGGCAGAATGTTGACAGTATTTGGAGCATTCTCGTGATCCCTTCTATTGTGTCGAGATCAAAAAATAATTTCACATTCTGCCAAATGAAATGCCGATTTTTTTTTTACCTTTCAAAATGTACTTTTAGCTAATAATCACTATCGCAGCAGGGTTAGAAAACTGGGGTCTTAAGACTTTATATTGTAGTGATTTTTCCATTTAGTTTGTCTTTTCATTTACCTCTTTTAAACTATTTGCGAACCACAATAATGATTTTTTTCTATTAATCCTCTGTAGCTCCCATTTCAAACATTGCAAGTTTAAGCAAATCATTGTCGTTGAAAGCTGAAAGGAGAATATTGCTAAATAAATCTTTTGTCCTTTGCTTCGATGGTCCCAAAGCTCACACACCTTTCACAGACACTGACCTATAACGATTAGTGAATAACAAAAATGATCCTGTTACCTTTTTATTCTTCTGCGAAAGCCTTCACATCAGAGCCAAATTGTTCCATTGTGCAGTAAACGGCTTATAAACTCGTAAACGGCGTTCACTAATTAAAATCTTTGAAGTTGACTTTTACATGATAACCTCCCGTTTAACAGGCCGCTGGTTCACGCAGGCTCAGGGTTTGGAACCTGGCACCGTCGGCTGCTCCATCAGAAGCACCTGGACTGTAAAAGCTCCCCTCTGGATGCTTCTTCATCTTTCCTTCTTTCTGTTATGTGTTCTTGGCTTAAATGGATGTTTCTGCAGTTTTTTTCTAATGCAGGTGGGAAATCATTCAAAAGTCTAATAACTTCTGGAACTCATCTTAAAATGGGAAAGGAACCTATGACCGACTCATTACATGAAAAGTTAGATTTATATATTCTAAGGTTGAATGTATTCAATTATTCATTTGTTTATTTTCATACCCTTAATCCAATTCTGGGTCAAGGGGTGGCAATCGGAGCTGTCGCCCAACCCCAAAATAAAAACTTAATGAAACATAATAAAACGTGATTAATACAGAAATCCATAAATGAAAGGCTTGAAAAGTTGAAAGCTATAGACAGTTTGTCTATATTTTTTTCACACTATATAAAAAAACATGACACATAATATTAAAACAGTTGTATCTTTGTAAGTGTGTATTCTTGAAAGGCCCCTGTTGAAGTAATGATACACATACAGTTAAACATGGACATTGGAAAGTCACAGGGAATTGGTCTCATTTTCATTTGAATTACAGAAATGACATTTCAAAGAATATTCTAGTTTCTCCTGTCTATAATGAAGCGTGTCTTGACTTTCGAAGGAATGGGTTGAGGCGCCTTGAATTAATCCTCCCAAACCTCTTCATACAGACTGCCAGCGTTAATGGTGGCTGAAGCTTGGAAATTTTCATTTATTACAACATTTGTTCTTTTCTTTATTAAATTTATCTGAGCGCTGTGTTTTGAGTTAGTAGAGATATTTATTCTATGTCCCCAGTTTCATTATAATCTCATCGCTCTTTGGGATATTCCTCACAATCTTAAATCTTGTGTACGTCCAAAATGGGTCACGCAACAAGGACAAGCTTTATTGGCCCAAAAAGTTATTGTACTTATCGCTTAAGATGATTCTAGATTCAGTTAATTTTCCATTTGCAGTACAACCACATTGGAATAACTGTGCAAGACTTCCCCAGTGTTCACCAGAGAGTGTTCACCAGAGAGTGTTCACCAGAGAGTGTTCACCAGAGAGTGTTCACCAGAGAGTGTTCACCAGAGAGTGTTCACCAGAGAGTGTTCACCAGAGAGTGTTCGGCAGAGAGTGTTCGGCAGAGAGTGTTCGGCAGAGAGTGTTCGGCAGAGAGTGTTCGGCAGAGAGTGCACGGCAGAGAGTGCACGGCAGAGAGTGCACGGCAGAGAGTGCACGGCAGAGAGTGCACGGCAGAGAGTGCACGGCAGAGAGTGCACGGCAGAGAGTGCACGGCAGAGAGTGCACGGCAGAGAGTGCACGGCAGAGAGTGCACGGCAGAGAGTGCACGGCAGAGAGCGCACGGCAGAGAGCGCACGGCAGAGAGCGCACGGCAGAGAGCGCACGGCAGAGAGCGCACGGCAGAGAGCGCACGGCAGAGAGCGCACGGCAGAGAGCGCACGGCAGAGAGCGCACGGCAGAGAGCGCACGGCAGAGAGCGCACAAGCGCACGCCAGAGAGCGCACGCCAGAGAGCGCACGCCAGAGCTCTTGCCACGGCGCCATTTCTTCCATTCATATTCTGCATTTAATTCAAAACAATTCAATTCGGTTTATTTTTGTATTTCCCTAAATCACAACAGAGTTTGTCTCGGAGGACTTTACAAAGTTGTCGATTCCTCAAAAACAGATGCGAGAATCAGACAGTTTGAACACAGGTAATGCACCAATACCACACATTTTGACTCTCGGTTTGATCCATCGGGAGTGGGATGACCCATGTCCATAAATGTTAGTAATGTCCTAAAATGTGCTGAAAAGTCCCAGATCATCTCTGTCCTTAGACCCACCTGCATCGACAAAGAACCACTAACAAAAAAGCAGTGTGGAAAAAAGTGAATATCAGAGAAAATAGATGTTGTTTACTGTTTAGGATATGCTTCAAAACATCCTCAGTTGGGATCTTGGATTTCCAGTGACAGATTTAGACTTCTGTAAGTCATGGGATTGCTGCCTGTGTGTGACAGCTCGGTGAACCGTGCTCCTCTAAATACAGAGGCTCGCACTCCTCTCAAATTAAGATGTGTGTGTCATAAATATTCACTCTCTGCCACAACAGACAGCCCTCCCCTTTGATTTCACTGGTATTTTCATTACAGCCATTAATTATGCAAGATTTCATTTGGAATATATAACAAGTATGTGTCTGTGCCTGTCAAAAATCTCCCTATCCGTGTATCACTGCTGGCTTCTGCTTACTTTCTAACCATGGCCCTGTTTTCAATAAATTAAATCATGCCACTAGTGAATCATTGTCATTGATTGAT